TTTTCACTTCTAATTTTCTGTTTCCTTCATTTCACATTGGTGAATCTCCATTTCAGTTTTCACTGCTTATACTCACTTATTCTATAGTTCTGCAGAGAAAGAACAGAGGTACAACCTTTTTTTTTTCCCCTAGAAAATAGACTGCAATATTCTTGTAGACACGGAAGTTTTCTTATGTATCTTATATCCACCTAATACTGTGTCTTCTATACAGCAACCTTTAAATAGATACCTTGCCTACACTATCTCATGCCTATTTTATCACATTTAGCAGGCAACCTATGCTTGCTGTTTCTGCTTCCTTACCCGTTTCACTTTTACTTCAACCAGACTTTTATACTATTCTCCTAAGACTTCTCTTGCTAAAGTCACCAAGGACCTCCTAACTGCCATGTTCAGTGGATGCATACATTCTACGGCATTGTTTGCTGCCCCCCTGAATTTTCCCTTCCCCTGACTTCTGTGCCTCCATGCTCTCCTGGCCTCTCTGCCCTTCCAGTGGCTCTCTTCTTCCACCGTCTCCCCAAAGTTGTTGCTCCCAGAATTCTGACTTATTCCCACCTCTCGTCTCACTTTCGTGTGTTTCAGTTCATCCTTACCTAAGCTTTTGACTACACTCGCAACTCCCAAGCTACATTTGCAGCTCTCACTTCTCTCCTGAGCCCTGGTCCTGCATCTCCCTGGTCCTGCCCTACTTCACAGCAGTACCACCAGGGCAGCTTCTCAGTACATAAACATAATAATGCATGATTTCTTCTTCACCCTCCGATCTGGCCCTTCTCCTGAATTCCCTATCCTAGTTCATGACATCAACATTCACTCCGTCATCTAAGCCAAGAAAACTTTATTTCATTTATAATCCATGGTGTCATAAAAATTTATCATCTAAAACACAAAGATGAACATGTTACAAGTTAAAGACTTTCATTGCCTATTGTCTGCTAGCAAGAGACACATTGCTTTCTCTTCAGCACTATGCCCAACGAGACTCCAACCCAATTCTACCGCATCCTCACACATCCCCAGACTCCTATGCTTGAGTCACATTGAACTATGTACAGTGTGATTCTTTCACACCTCTAGCCTTGCATGAGCTTCTACCTAGAGAAATGATTCTCAACAGGAGTCAATTTTGCCCCAGGGGGCATTTGGCAATGTCTAGAGATGTTTTTCGATGGTCACAACTCCGGGAGAAGAGTGCTAGTAGCATCCAGTGGATGGAGGCCAGAGATGCTGCTAAACATCCTACAAGGCACAGGACAGCCTCACACAACAAAAAGTATCCAGCCCAAAATGTCCATTGTGCCAAAACTGAGAATCATTGCCCTAGAATATCCTCCTTGATTTCTCTGCCTGGTGAACTCCAACTCACCTACCAAGACTTAGCTCAAACGTCACTTCCTCTGTGAAGCCTTCCTCTACTGACAAGGTCCTTTCCTCCAGGCAAGTATTGTTGCATCTTTTTGCACTTTTTTATACATACCTCTATTTTAGCAGATCACATACTAGACTGAAATTATTTTTGCTTACCAGTGTGTCTCTATTAATGGGACCTCCCCCAACTAGAGACTGTTCTTCATTAACTTTTATTCCCAGTGCTTGAGTCAGTGCCTGGTTAATAACAGGCATTCAAATGTGCTAGGTGAATGAATTAAAGAAGACACATCCACAGAGAAATACAAAGTATTTCAGAAGCAAACAATTCAGGTCTCTCTAAATTTCAGAATCACTCTGAAATTACTATTATAGTTCCTCAGTTTTAAGAACTATACATATACAAGCATACATTTCTCAGTAAATTTCTAAAACTGGTCATTAACATTGTTGTGTCACAGTCTGAGAGTCAATATTTACAAATTATACTGGTTTTTATAGGAAAGATGGTGTTGTTCAAGTAAATTTAACCAAATGTCTCTAAATATTCTGCTAAAGGTAATAAAATAAGGACTGAGAAAGAAAATAATAGAACACTAAAATAAGTATATATTTAAAACATTTATTTTAGGAAGAACAACTAAATAAAAAATTATTGAAATGTATAATCTTGAGATTAGTGTTAAAGGTTTTTGAAGTAATTGAGACATAAGTTTTTTAAAGTTCTACTATACTAAGATTAAGTAATTTGCCTACCCAGGATTAGGTAACAGAAAATAAACAAAAACTTTCATGACAAAAAAGAAAAAATGTAAAGCCAAACTTTCTGATAAAAACATGCATATACGTCAAGGATGGAAGACATGTACAAGCTTGGGTAAAATGCTAAGGTATTTTAAAGAACAGGGTAATGAAATCTATGAGCATCGTAACCACATAAGACAAGAGATTTAAAAAACAAGAGATAAGGAAAAATAATACAGTAAACTATTCCACAGATTTTAGAAATCTAAATAGTAATCTTTGTAACTGGATAAAAACTATCTTAGTTCCATAACCTATTTCTTGATCAAGCTGATAAAATATTACACACAATGTTAAAGCATCAAATATCTACTTTCAGATAAAAAGTCATTATATGGTCTTTACAAAAGCAATATTATATTTCAAAAAGCATATATAATAAACCTATGCCAATTACTGTTATGTTCTTTGATAGCAAATAAATAAAATATAGATGATCATGCAGACTACAAAGTCCCATCTTCATTTTAAGTTGTAAACACAGGACAGAGCCCTGTCGCAGATACAGGTAAAAGTTCTCACTAGATTTAAAAAATTTGCCATTAATGAGCTGTTGATTATAGAGAGCAAGAAACTGGATACTATGCTCCTAGAGACTGGTAGCTAAACCCATAAGAAAAGAATGTGTAGGCCTCTCAGTGCTTTAGAAACCAGGGTCCCTGACCAAGGCCGTGATTTAATTTCACGGCTGCTTGGTACAGATAGCTGACATTACTAAACGCTACTCTAATATCAACTTGTTAAATGTGAATCCAGACTCAGCATATCAGAATACTAACCCAGACTAACTGGAGTCATGGGAAATATTTTGGGAGCTGTTTATTTATAAATGAGTTACAATATACCACTATAATTAGATGAATATATAATTATTGATAAACACAGGATTATTTCTAAAACCCCATTATTTTTACCATTGCTTTGTTCAGAAAAAAGATTAGTATTTTCCTTTTGAAACAAGCCCTTGATTTACAACTAATCAATTACATCAATTTAGATCTAGTATATGTTGAATTTAATGATCAGTATATTGTTTACAATATTTTTATAAAGAGTTCTTTAATAAACATTAAAAGGAGAAACAATCTAAAGTTCTTCAGCAAACTACACACTTCTGAACTATTTTATAATCCAATAATTTATCAAAAAAATAGAATCTGCACAGAGCTAGGCATTTGGCTGTTACAGAAAAATATTTAAGTTAGCTTACCTAAGTTTAAATAAAATCAACAAAAGTGTATATTTTTAGCCATGCAAAAGGCACTTAGTCACACTTTATTAAAAACCATTGAAAATACCACTTTTCAAAAGCATCAACAACAAACTATAATATTACAACAAAATCAACTATTTCAAGAATATTACTATAAAAATTTCTAGGTTAAGTATTCCTTTCAGATTGATTATCTCATTAAAAGTAAAATAAATTTACAAGGTAAATATAATTCAATTAGCAAATTATTAAAATGTTTCTTCATAGTATCACATTCCTTTCTTTTAGGGGGCAAAACAGCTGAATGGATTATAATCTCTTAAAAAGCTGTTTTAAAAAAATTTTTGTAAACAGAATTAGTAATTCTAAAACATAGATCAGAATTCGAAATCTGATCCTTGTTCATCCTCAGTAAAGTAGTTGCTTATATTAACATCTGGACATTGGGTAACAATGATTATATTTATCAGATTTCAAAAGAGAACACAAACTAGCAATTACTTAATATTTTATTTACCTAAAGCTACTTGTCCAGAAGTTTCAAAAAAACCCTTTAATATAGATATTAAGTGTTATATAAATACCAATAAACAGATAAGTTGTTTTCCCCCAAACTGCTAGGTACCGTCAATCTAGTATTGGTTTAATCAGAAAAATCTCTTAATTTCCTGGTATCTGGCAAGACTTTCCAAATACAGAAATTTAAAAAATCTATTTAAGTTCAAAATACTTAAAATACTTTGGAAAGGCCAAATTACATAAAGAGCTGTTTTGGCTAAAATTCATTAAAGTTACTAATACAATAAAGCAAACTTATCAAAGTAAATTTTAAGGTAACTAGAAAATTATGGGAAACGCCTAGAAATTGAAACTAAATTCAAAAATATAAAATTCACAATTCAATATTGTTCAAAGAATGAGTTACATTTTAGATGGCAGTCTTAACTGGTAGCTAAAGAAAAATAGGGTGGAAACAAAATTCCTGTGGTTAAGGATATATACAAATGTAAATGCCATTTATTTTTCCTCTGCTTTAAACATACAGCTTAATAGTTTTTTATCAATAATCTAATAAAAATATATATTTTAGAGAAACACTTTCTCTGTTCATTTATAACAAGTTTTTCCACATTTTTATATGGGCTTTTTATTGTTTAATATTTTAAATGAGCATTCTATATTTTACTTTATTTCACAATGATTAAGGAGGGGAGAATACCAAATGAGCATTTTTGAAAGTAGGAATAAATATGGAGATAGACATTAAAATACCATGCCACTTGAGGGAGAAATATACCAAGGTAAAATGTTATAAAATAAATTATTATTTAAGGCTTATTTTTATGCTACAGAAATGTTTTATGGCTTAAATCACTTTGGAAACTTTTTTTTTAATGCCTATCTTCTACGTTGGTAAAATAACAAATAGAGTGAAAAACTACTGGGGTTTCTTCAGATTTACAAATATAAATATCATGACAACAAAATACTTGCTAGCTAAGGACGAAGAAAGTATATAAAATTGCTAAGTTATAATAAATTTTAACCAAATATTTCATAAAGCTAATCTATTATAAATTAACATTTACTGAGACCAAAGGAAACTTACCTTACAAGAATGTTTCAAAGAAGTAGACAGTTCATTTGTGAAATCTCTGTTGCTGTCTCTTGATAAATTATCAACTTTACCTTCATTTCCAGATGCAAACTTTATGAGTAATTGAGATGGTCCCCCCTTAGAACAATTGTGCTTAAGGCTGGATAAACAGGAAACACTTGGATAAGTTCCTCCCACAGAAATACTTCTTTGTAAAATAGCATGGTTTTTGTTTATCTGTGAATTTGGTCTTTCCAACTGTCCATTGATATTTATTTGATAATCTGTGTTTTGGGAGGATGGTAAACATGCAGATGGCCTATGCATAAGCTTAATATACTCTGCTTCAGAATTAAGCTTAATTTCTGAAATCTCTGGTTTACAATCACCATTTGCTGTTTCACAATCTAATGTAGTTGCTTTCTGTTGGGTGAAATGCACTGAAACACAAGAATATCCTTCAGGTGACTTTTCACATACAGTCTGATTTGGACTATTATTTGCAATAACCATTTTCTTTTGTAATGAGCCCTTCCCGTGAAGGGGTCGTATGTCTCTTCCTTCTCCAGGAGTACAGATTGTTTTAGATAACCGAAGTCCATTGACAGCTGTTGAAAGAAATCCCTTTGCACTAGTACCATCTTCACTGTGGGCAATTTCACTAGGAGAAATAAGAAACTGGTGTGAGGTTTGATAGGATCCTTTGTTTGGAAGAGTACCTGTATTTGTTGGAGAAGTTGGTGGGGTATTTGAAGGACTCCTAGGAAAAATTACTAAGGATGAACAACGTTTTAGTGGAATTTTCGAGTTCCTGCTCACTGGCAATTTCATAATCTCTAGTCCATGCTCCAAGTCATCCTGGACAAATGGAACTGTACTTGTACTTCTTGAAAAAATTTCACATGGAGTAATATTCCTGTTTGGCACGCTTCTATTGGAGGTGCTGTCAGAAGATAAATTTCCACCAAAAAAAGTATCATCAGTTGGTGTAAAAGTATAACCACTGCTGTCACTGAGGATACTATTGGTGTATGAACCTCCACTTGTGATGCTTGTGCATGACCCATAATCACTACCGTTGCTGCTGTAAGATCCATTCTCACTGGCTGAAAAGTTACTAAGGCTACCACTGCGAATGGCAGAACTGCCTAAAAGGTTACCATCATTCACAGCATTCAGTTCATTATCAACCACGGCAGTGCTGTAAATGCCGTCCTTCAAGACACAAGCAAATGAAGCATCGTCACCATCAGCTAAGACATTGCTAGACGGAAGACATCCACTGTACCTTGTTGGCTGTAGCGAAATCTGTAGACAGCTGCTCTTTTTATTAACATTTTCAGGTGAAGGAACAGATGATCTTTCCTGAGACTTAACGTTTTCCTTTAAGAACGGAGCTAGTGCAGTCTGTCTGGGAGTCAGCTTCATTTGAACAACATTAGACGCTGAAATCCGTGTTGGTCTTTTGAAGCACATGTGAACACTGCTATCCAAATCATCTCCGGAGGTTTCTGACAAAGGATAAGTATTGCTTCTTCTGGCTGCAAAGTGCACTCGTAAGCTTTGTGCCATTTGTTCTCATTTCCAAACATGTTAAGGGCTAAAAGGCATAACAAAGATCTCTGTCGGTAGACAGGCTAGAAGCAGCTGCACTGCATCGAACGAAAAAATCATTTGTGGTGCCTAAAAGAGCTTTTAAGTAGTAGTCTTTATCCTAGGTAAAACATTAGCTACCAGATATCATAGAAAGAAAAAGACGACCCATTCCTGAGACTGACGTTTCCAAAATGTCTTGAATCTCTTGTAGTCAAAATGCCTTCACTTACAAAGCACTTGATTTCCAGCGACCTTTAAGCTGAGCTCAGCTGCAGCACACTGCCTCAAACACTGCCAACCTTGTTTCAATTATACCTTCTCCAATTTGCATGAATGAGTAACACAAGAACAACAATCTTCTAGCATTTCAAGTTGAACAGTATTTTTTCACTCCAGCTCTACTAAATGAACAGTTAACCATGTGAATCACGGTGCCTATACTTTCTCCAGCTGAGTTTGACCACTAATATTTTTACCCAGAGGCATAGAATTACAGGAAGTTGGTAGGAATGAAGCCCCATGAAATTGAGTATCAAATCAAAGATTGAATTTCCAAATAGTAGCCATACTAGGAATCTAGTCAAGTTAGTTAATGTAGAAAGGAATACAGACTGTTAAATTTTTTTAAATGGGTAAGTTCAAACAGTTGTATAAATTTGGAAATACCAAAACTTTGGAGTGAATTAAAATTTTAGCATTAAATCAAATAGATAAATATTTTAGCTTCCAAAACACTACTTATAAAAAGTGAAAGCTTAAGGATAGAAATTCAAACTTAGCCCAGGAATACAACTGCAAAAACTGAGCATACGTCTGAGGAAAAAAGTTAAAGAGAAGCTGTCACCAGGCATTTTCTCCTGTAATTTTAAGGTCTTTTCCAGCCAAGTAGTACAGTCTTTAAATGATGCCATTTATATTTTGACTATTAAAACTCTGCCAAGAAATAGCCTAAGCAAACATTCCATTAAAAATATATGCAGATTAGACAGAAAAACTATACCCCAATATAGTTTGAGCACACAAGATATTTTATTCCACTGTCTCTGCAATTCATTCACTTAAGAGAGTGTTGTGGCAATTAAAGAAGTCTAAAAAGGATTTAACACATCAAATAAACATATCTCAATGCCAATTCTCTTCTGAAAAACTCTAAGAGCTCTTTGCTGGCCCCTACTGGTGCTTTGAAACAATCCATTTAGCTGTCTGATAGCTATAAAGAAAGAAAAAACATACTGCATATTTTTCCCCCTTAAGACTGGCCCTGAGCTAACATCTGTTGCCAATCTTCTTTTTCTTCTTCTCCCCAAAGCCCCCCAGTACAGAGTTGTATATTCTAGTTGTAGGTCCTTCCACTTCTGCTATGTGGGACGCTACCTCAGCATGGCCTGATGAGTGGTGCTCGATCCGCATCCAGGATCTGAACCAGTGAAACCCTGGGTCCCCAAAGCGGGGTGTGTGAACTTAACCACTGGGCCATGGGGCCGGCCCCTGCATATTTCTTTATATAAACAAAGTATACACTTGTTTACATTTTTGAGTACTAGCACTGCCCTAGAGGTGGAATTCCTTACTACTGCTGATAAAGCTCCCACAGCAGAGAACAGTAGAGTGTTTGTCTTTTTAGAGGTTGTGATTTTATACATATATGTTTTTTCTGCTTTGTATTTATTTAACCTTTACTTTATTTTCAGTTTACTAGGTAATAAAAGTTTAATATTTTAATTTCTCCCCCACATGTCATGGACCAAGGTTGGTATTCGATTTGAAAGAAACAAATTTATTTTTAAATAATACTCCAGGGTATATTTAAACCCCTTACCTGAATTTTATAGCTGGAACTCCAGTAATAAATATATACTGGCTCATTCATAGGAAAGTAAAAAGTAAAACAGTTCAGTTGTTTACACCACATGGTACTACACCCAAGTTGTATTTTTCTAGGTAAGTTTTTTTTTCCTAAGTGAAAGCAAATATGTAAAACATATACTTGCACTTTGTTTAAAAAAAAAAACTCAGGATAAATTTGTTCTCAATCACAATTTTCTAAATAGTATTTTTAATCAACTAAGACATGACAAAATAGAAATATGGGATTTATTAAATTATATTTCTGACTAGAATAAGATAGCACTGTGTTTTAGAATGTGTATAAAATTGTAAACTTAGTAATAAAATTACTGTTATTTTGGTTTTGTATAATCTATCTCCTTTACCATTTTGCAGACTTCAGCAAATATTCCCTTATCATCCTTTTTCTTTATAAAAGGAAGAGTCGTAACCTTTTCACTTTGCCTGCAAATGACTGCAACTTTCCTTCTTGAATTAAGTTAGGAGTCTGCTAACTCAAAGAATGGATCACTTCTAAGAGGCTAGTCAATGAGCTCTGATTGCTCATGCCTGTGGCCTAAAACCTCTGGTTCATAAGCATTAATCTCTGGTCGTTAACATAAAATAATGAACCTCAGGTATTTGGCCAGATAAACATTTTCTCTTTGGGAGGCTGAACTCTAAGCATTGGTTTCACGTCCCCGAACCAGATTTTAAGCTTCTAGAGTGCGAGGACCATAACTAAATATTTCTCCTGATCCTGCTGAGCTCATGCTGGGCACAAAGTGAGCACTAGGTAACACCAGAGAGGAGCGTGGATAAACGGATGGATGGTTGCCACAGCTACTCTGATAGCCTAACATGTTCTTTCAGAATTTTCTTTAAGTTGATCCAGGTACCACTTCTAAAGAAATATCAGAAAGCATTGCAGCTGGACAAGCAGGAATGATGCTTGAAAAATTTGCAAGGAGGGCTTCAGCCAAAGGAAAGTAAGCCAAGAACTTCCTAGCACTTCCTAGCACTCCAGGCTGAGTTTAAATTCTAGAGGCTCAGCCATTTGCATTGCTGGCTCTGGTCTGGGACTGCACAAGATCTGGACCACCATTACAGCAGTTAGGTGTAGAACATGGAGAACCTGGGATAAAATGGAGCCCGTTGGCCAAACAGAAGCCAAAAGAGGGGCACCAACCCTACCCTCAAGAGCAGAAGAGCTGGAGAGTGGTGGCAGCCCTCATCTGGGAGGGATCTATGCAAGTCCTATAGAATTTCCTATCTTGGAATGAAACGGATAATGTCTTAGGATTAGACTGAAGCTCAGGACCCCACATTCTGAGATGTGTGGTTATTGATTATCTCCATGCTATGGATAGGCTCCGCATAACCCTGATCATTGACTAGAACTTCAAAGGCCAAAATCCACTGGGATGGTTAATTGTTTGTACTGTCTTGGCTAAGCTACTTTGCCCAGTTGTTTGGTCAAACACCAGTCTAAATGTTGCTATGAAGCTATTTTTTAGATGTGATTAACGTTTAAATCAGCAGATTTTTGAGCAAAGCAGACCGCGCTCCATAATGTGGTGGGCCTCATCCAATCAGTTAAAGGCCTTAGGAGCAAAGACATGTTTCCCAAAGAAGCAGCAATTCTGCCCCAAGACCACAAAGTGAAACTCTGTCTGAGTTTTGAGCTTGCTGGCCTGCCCTGCAGACTTCACACGCAAGACTGTAACATCAGCTCTTATCTGATCTTCGACCTGCCAGCTCTGCCTCACAGATTTCAGACTTGCCAGCTTCCACAATTGCGTGAACCAATTCCTTAAAATAAATCTCTCTCTCTCCCCTCTTCTGTGTGTGGGTGTGTGGGTGTGTATCCTATTGCTTCTGTTTCTCTGGAGAACCTTAATACAACCCCTAAACCTAAGAAGCACAGCATCTCCACCTGGAACAAAGAATATAGACGTCTCCTAGAGCTTCAGAGGCTGGATGCGTGCAGGTGCAGCTCTAAGGCAGTGACGCACAAGCACTAACTTTTGCATTAGTGAGTAGAATTCATTTAAAGGCACAGCATTCTGAAATGTCCCATCACTAGCAACACCACCACCACTATCACCATCACCAAACTACTACCGTTTATAACGCTCAGATTCTTAAAATCGGCTGAAAAAAAGGAATTTAAGCCTACTGTTTCTCGAAATAAATATCGCTTATATTGCAAATCTTTTCCAGATGACTAGAAATTCTTTCTGCTTAAAATTATATCTGTGCTCTTCTCTGTACATTTCCAAAGAGAATCTTCTAGGAAAAGGATATATCCTTAATTTAGTTGTGGATGCTACAGGAGAATAAAGATACAATGACATTTACAGTGGCATAAACCATTTATCGCTATACAATCAAGCCTGTTACTCCACCAATGGCTATAGCTTCTATGACATCTCAGGTGATCTGCGCACTTCAGCTACCTGCTAGGACTAGCAACAAATCAGAGGATTAGAATGATGCACATCACCCTGTTTTAATTATTTCTTGCTCCCTTTTGCTAGTAAACTGAGCTTCTTGAGAAAAGCTATATTTCTTTCTGGTTTTTTTTTGAGGAAGATTAGCTCTGAGCTAACATTTGCTGCCAATCCTCCTTTTTCTTGCTGAGGAAGCCTGGCCCTGAGCTAACATCCGTGCCCATCTCCCTCTACTTTATATGTGGGATGCCTGCCACAGCATGGCTTGACAAGTGGTGCGGAGGTCCGCACCTGGGATCTGAACTGGCAAACCCCAGGCTGCTGAAAGAGGAATGTGCAAGCTTAACTGCTGCGCCACCGGGCCAGCCCCAAGAAAAGCTGTATTTCTAATGCATAGCAGAGTATCTAACACAGTAGATACCTTAAGTGGCATACCTTAGATAACACAAAAAATATAGTATCAGAGAACCATAAATGTACGAGTCCACAAAAGTTATATGTGTATCATGATGAAACATTTCCTGAGTGCTCTGATACCCATTATCTCATTTTATCCTTACAATACATTTATCAGATAGGTAGAGCAAATACTGTTATCCCCATTTTTTTGTTTTTTAGGAAGATTAGCCCTGAGCTAACAACCACCACCAATCCTCCTCTTTTAGCTGAGGAAGATTGGCCCTGAGCTAACATCTGTGCCCATCTTCCTCTATTTGATATGTGGGACGCCTGCCACAGCATGCCTTGATAAATGGTGCATACGTCCTGGCCTGGGATCCAAATCAGTGAACCCCAGGCCACCAAAGAGGAGCGTGCAAACTTAATCACTAGGCCCCTCGGCTGGCCGAATGTTATCCCAACTTTTAAAGCATGAGAAAATATTTTTCAGAAGGATTGAATAATTTGTCCAGGGTTATAAGCTAATGTACCAAATCACAGGCAGGACTACAATAAGACTTCTGATTCCTTGGTGTGGAGATCTATAATATCCTGATGAATGCATTATTTTCTTTTTGCTTTTAGCTTTAAAGGTTTTTAAAATTTTTACATATCATGTTTATAAATCTAGAAATATCCCATTATTAATATCAGAGGCAATTTTTTTCTTTCGACATGTCATGACACCCTGTTTGGTACTCTATACACAGATGCCCACGGAGTGTTAACACACCGATCAGTGTACAACAAATATCAATTTTGGCAATGAAGAGAGAGTTACACCACACTAAGTTACTGGCAAAAAAGACTAGACAACTAAGCAGGTTGGAAAGCACAAATGCGAGCTATCCTCCTTTGGACAACATGCAAATAACTCAAATAAAAGAGTTTATCAGTGATGCACCCAAGAAT